TATTAATGTTTAATAAAATAAATTTTTAAATTTTAAATTAGAATGTTGTTTCTAAACATAAATTGAGATTTTAATTTTTTTTTAAATCAATATTAATTCACACTAGCCTCTATTTATTGCTCTCTCTATTTAACTTTGGTAGACTTAAATTTTTTAATAAAATAGAATGTAATAATTAATTGATAAATTTCATATTTATCTATAATTAATTATTACTTATATAAATTTTTTTATTTAATATATATTAATTTTTTAAATAAAAGTAAAATAAGAATAAATGTATTCAATGATGTCTTAAAAGGGGTATTTGAATGCCCTAAATTAGAAAATATATCTATTAAAGTTGAATACCTACTAAAATTGAATGGAGGGAGCATATGTTATAATTTATCTTTTTAAAATAAAGATAAAATAGAAATAAACACATTAAATGATATCTTAAAAATAAAATATAAACAATTAAATTTGAACACTCCAAATTAAAAATTGGCTTGACTAAAGTTAAATAGAAGTAGTATTTTATTACAAATCATGTATTGCTTACTCCATTTGCCCTAAAATAATATAGTAAACATTATTTTACTTTATTTTTAGATTAAGAATTTGGAGACAATTTCTATTTTACCTAATTTATCCTTAAAAAATTAATAAAAATAAAAACAATTTTACAATAAGATGCATGATCAAAGTTAGGAGATTATCATTAGGGTAAAGTAGGAAAAAAAATATTTACCTCCTTTAAAATATAAAAAAACAATTATTTTTCTAAAACAAATTTTAAATAAAAAAATATCTATTATTTTAAGATGAAAAGAGAAATATTTACAATGTTAGTAAGGATATTACCGGAAAAAAATGTGTAAATAAGGATGTTAACTTTATATATTTTTTAATTTAAAGATATTAATTTTATCAATTTTTAAATACGGATATCAATTTTTAATTTTTTCTATTTAAAAATATCATTTTTTTTTTCTATATAAGGATATTAATTTTCAATTTTTTTTAGTTAGGGATTAATCGAATGGTGATGTTGATGTGAAAAATAGATTTTTTTTAAAAAAATTAACATTTTTAAATAGAAAAAAATTGAAAATTGATATTTTTATTTCAAAATTGATAAAATTAACATAATTAAATAGAAAAAAATACAAAGTTAATATTTTTATTTGCACATTTTCTCTTAACACCATAATATTTAGTCATATTTTAGTATATTATAATTTCTTTTATCTTCTAGTATGTTATGTTTATTTTCCTCCACATATCTCTTTATTAAATACCTCTCATTATCTAATTCTTTATTAAAATATTAAACTAATTTATGATATTAATCACTAAGAGAACCGATTAATTCGTTCTTCCCTAGACTACCTATGTTGTATATATGATGAAGACGTAATTAGATACTAGGATAAGATAATTCTTTGATAATTTATTGATGGTTTGAGAATTAGGGTCCCATACCCTTTATGTTAATTATAGAATGAATTAATTTTCTAGTCTATAGGTCTAACACCCTTCACTTTAATTTGAATTAATCTTTAATAGGTATATTTTTAAGAGAATAGCAGGTATTAGTCCTATTTTTTAAAAAAAAATTAAAATCTCAATATTAAATAATAACCTCTTATTTAATTAAAATTTAATTCAAAATTTAAAAACTTACTTTATTACATGTTAATTCCTGCATTTGAAAAGGAAAATCTAATTCAAAATTAAAAAACTCATTTTATTAAATATTGATATATAGATTTAAAAACTGATTATATTAAAATATATACTTTGTTACTAAATCTAGGTATTAACATTTAATAAGGTAAATTTTTAAAACTTAAATTAAATTTTAATTAAATTAAATAATGTTATTTAAAATTAAAACTCTAATTTTTTTGAGTTAGAACTAAAATGCACTTTTCTCTATTTTTAAAATATTCATTGAGTATTTCTTTAGAATTTTTAATCAATTCTTGATGAAAATAGATGCCAAGTTGTATTCAAAATTGAATTGTAGTAATTAATAAAAAATATTTTTACTATAATTAGATTTCTTAATTTCTTTTTAAGGTTGAATTATAATACTTAATACAAACTATTTCAACGGCTGTTTACATTTTAGTACCCGGTGTTATATTAATTTGCTCACAGCATCCACACTTATTAATTTGTCGTTCAACACTCTTGTTTTATAATTACAAATTAAATTGATTTCTTATTGCATAACAATCAATTTTTTAATAAATGGATCCCTTTCCCCTTATGTTAAATTTAAATTACTCTTTAAAAGGTATGTTTAAAAAAAATGTATTCACAGCATCAAAAAAAGAAAATGTATAAGTATTTATTGATGATTGATTTAAAGCCATTAGGCGTTCATTAAATATTTTTTTATAATTAATTGGGTATTTAATTAGAGTATGGATCTAATTATATATAAATTTTACACACTATATTTATACAACATCTTAATCATTTATCTCTTTATTTTTAAAAGTTGATATTTATAATAATTTTTTTTAAAAAAAGATAATTATATTTAATAAATATGATAAAAAAATAAATAAATCTCAATAATTAAAAATAAAAAAATGAATGATTATGATTTTTTATAGTATATATGTAAGATTTGTGTGTAAATGAATATCTATTCATTTAATTAAGAGTTTTAAGAAAAATTTTGTTGGTACGGAGCATGTTTCAATATAATCATTTTATAACTTAAAAACCATTTTGAGTTTGTCTTCTAAGATAAATTTTATTAGCTAAGAGTCTAAACCTCTTGATTTATATGGTTTAAGAGAACGAAGAGGAGAAAAGAAGATTATTACATTTTTTTTTCTCTTATTTGGTTAGACTAAAATATATATAAAAAAAATTAAAACAAAATAAAGGAAAACCCCTCCCCTGGACTTCCTTCTAATTTTTTGTTAATTGAATAGAAAATTTTCTCTTTTTGTCTCCTTTTCTCAAACTAAACAAGCATTTTATGTTAGAAGATTTGAGTTTAAATCTTAAGATAAGATACAAAAGAGTTTAGAAAAGTTTTATCATATAACTCCTCATCCAACTTCCTAAAAGAAAAACCATTTATTTCAAATTTTGGATAATTAAAATAGTTAACTTTTAGCAAATTTTAACATAAAATACTTTTAACTCTTTGTTTATGGGAACCTAATTTACAATTTAAGTTACATTAAACTATAAAATATAAATTATTAAATGAAAAAAAGACTCCTAATATCTAATATCAAGGACTCAATTTTCTATTTAATGATTTATATTGTACAATTTATTATAATCTAAATCACACTACACTTTTTCTTTATTTATTTTGAAAAAAATTTAAACACTCAAGGAGATGGAGACGTAGAGTTTACTTTCTAATTTATTTATCAAGATTCAATTTTCCGTTCCCAACGCCGATGACCTGTATTTAAGTGATTCAAGAAAGGATAGTCTTGAAGTAAGGGATTAATCGTGAAGCAACTGTCATTTGATAAAATAACATTCTAAATATTTTTAAAAAATTAAAAAATAAAATAATAATGCTACAATTATAATGTAACATATGATTATAAATTTATAATTATAATATATTATTAAATAAAAAAATACATATAATATTATAAATAAATTAAAAAAATTATATAATAATATGACATAATTATATTATAACTGCGTGACTTTAAAATAAATGTTTAAATTCCATTTTGGTTCCTCAACTTTTCATTTTGTCATCAAAATTGTCTTTCAACTTTAAAAAGTACTAAAATTATCCTTAAACTTTTATTTTCGATACCAAACAGTCCTTCTGTTAGTTAAATGGATAGGTGACATGTTAACTTATCAGTAAATCAATTTTTTTTTTTCTTAACTAGTGATGTGGGAAAAAAAACATAGTTGGCAAACCTTTTTTTATGAGTTGTCATTTTTATTTAATTTA